CGATCTCAATGTGCTATTTAAATACTGACTCCACTCACCAGAAGCTGCACTGACAACTGAAACCTGTGTGGAACTGAAGCTAAACATGAGGGGAGTTTACAGCACGGGAAATCACCTATCAGGTGATCATTTCAAATTAAAGGATTTTGGATTATTTAACAATCATGTGTGCAGTTTGCAGCTGCAGCTGGAGCTCTGTTAGCCGTCTCCTGTTGCTCTGAAAACTCACAAATCAACATGCTGATTGCTGCACATTTGTTGCGGCAATCAAATCCAGCTGATTGGCATTCAACATAATGTGACACAAACTTGTAGCAGGTGTTTACATGGCTTTGTTTAACTAACGTTACTGTTCACAATAAGTTAACTTTATTAGCTGTATATGGGGATTTTCTCAGCTGCTGGATACATACTCCTAAAGGGAGGACAACCCTAATGGAAACACAAGAAGGAGGAACACACACTGGTTCAGAAATTTCAGTTTCGCTTTGAATGATTGAGTGTGTTCATTTCTGTAAGATAGACAACGAGAAAGAGAACTGAGTAATAGCCATGAAAAGGGAATCCTGTTTTCTCATATGAAAACAACCCCCAGTGCAACACAGACGTTATATTTTCATAACAGAGTAAGGGAAACACAGCTCGGTAATTGCTTACAGAACAGATAAAAAAATACACATCCAGCCAGTAAATATAAATGTTTACATTCTTCTCGTCATTATAAAAGGGAGAAAGGAATGCATTAATTTTCTTTCACTATATAGGATGTAATCCATAAGTAACAATTTTTCATTATTTCTGCTTTGTACTCCAGCACACAAATAAAACCGTGAGATTAAAGAGCTGCCTTCAAGCCTCATCGGTGTTTGAAGATGTTATTGGGCGAACTGCGTTTGTTGAACACACTCCCCTGAATTTTAGAACAGTGAAGCGAAACAATGGTCTGAAACAGATAGTTTTCTGTGGCCAAACATGGTAATTCTATTGGCCAGCACATCATTTTGCATTAGATAAAGCTGATGGTAAAAGGCCCCAAAACAAGCAAGGCATGAAGATCACCGCAGTTCAACAGGTCAGTCAGAGTATCACCAGGTAAGATACTGAGGGCCTGCTGATTATCTGTTGATCGCAGATTTCAATCATTAACTAAAAAACTACAACCAAATATTGACTATTAAAACTCTATAAAGGGTGTTTTTCAAAACAAAATTAATACATTAATACATTTGGGTCAGCTAAAAATTGAGGAAACGTGCGGAATCTCATTCTTTAATTTGAAATGAACCGCGACACAGAACAACAATATGACATCTCCGTCATTCTACTTGGACCATCCATCGGGTCACAAGAAACCTCAATCAAACTGGTATAGATTTAAACATGCACACAAACAAAATAGTCAAAAACAAGATGTCCATTCTGACAGCACGATTATTACATGAAGTAAAGCTTAGCCTTGTTAGGTGCTTTCTTCTAAACTGATGGGTGTTTAGACTAGTTTTAGTGGTCGTGAATACAGCACGGACTGACACGGAAGAAGTTAGCCGATCTCACTTGTGGCAGTTACTGTAATACTGTAAAATGATTGGCATAAATGCAGCAGGGGTAAAGAGTTTTCAGCTTAATTCAATCTTTAATTCATCCCCCAAAGGGCAGTTCGAAGCAGGCAGGTTTACAACCACAAAAGCACACAAACAATTCATTCACACACGTATAAACAATCCAAAAAGACAAAGTAAGAAAAAAGTTTAACTACACAGGGTTAAAGGCCAATCCATAGCGGGCCAACAACATAAAGGAACATTACGCCAAAATGTGCCACATGTGCATTTATCAGTCTGTACACAAGGTAGTCTGACCATCTCTTGTGCCGCGCCTGTTCCACAAGTCTTATGGCTTTTGGTTATATAATATTCAAGCAGTGGTATCCCATGTTACATCTGCCATGTTGTGCGGTCCTGAATGAAGTTGACGTTGCTATTACTTTTAACAAGTGTATTTATAAATTCATACTCAAGGTAAAATGACCGTCTCTTGTGCTGCGTCTGTTCACAAATCTTATGGCCTCTGACTTAATTATACAGGCAGGGGTATCCCTGTGTCAACGCATACAGTAGAAATATAATACGTACCTCTGAAACCATGCTAAATCTGCCATGTTGTATGGTCCTGAATAAAGATTAAGTTGCTTCTATCTTTAACATGTGCATTTATAAACCTCTACACAAGGTAAAGTGACCGTCTCTTGTGCCGCGCCTGTTCACAAGTCTTATGGCTCCTACTATATTATACAGGCAGGGGTATCACTGTGTCAGCAACGTATACAGTAGAAATATGAAACCATGTTAGATTTGCCACTTTGTTATGTCTTCACTAAAGTTTACGCTGATATTATCTTTAACATTTCCTGTGTTTATGGGGATAAAGTAAAGAATAAATCATGTGAGTCATATGTTGATAATACACAGACTAGTTTTGTTTAGGAAGACTATTCAGGCTCAAAAATATGTTTGAGACTCAAATACAGTTTCAGTTATCGGTGTGTTAAGTTGTTTTTAAAATACATTTCATAACCATTAGTTTTATTTCAGATTACATGACAAAACTGGGTGATATGTTTACCGTAAGTGTCTGCCAAACATGGACTCTAAATTTGTTTTAAAGCCTTAGCTTTTGTTCACGCTTCTTCAGTTTTACATATGTTGAAAGCAGCACTATGTTTTGTTACAATTAATTAAAACACCTGCATCAAGCTCCCACTGTTTACACTGTATGCTAACATTACATTAATATACGCTGTGTGCCACATTAAGTGTGTGGACTACGACAAGCACATATGTGTATACGATACGGTTCAGTATACACTGTGTGTCTTCAGGCATTACTGAAAGCACATTGAAAGCTATGTGTTCAGTTAGCCCACTGCTGACGACAGAAAAAAAAAAACACCGCGAACCTGTAAAGAGTCATTTGTGACATAGTGGAGATCTCATTCATTTGATAAATTAAAAATATTTCACAGAAACTATTAGTGCCCCAAAGCACATAAATATAAGAAGTTATTATAACGGTTTCTCTTGAAGGCTGTTTCAAGTTAGAAATAAACATTATGTGAAATTTTTTTAAAATTTCAATGATTACTCTGCTCCTCAGAACATTATTTGCAACAAAAAATACAATGTAAATACAGTGTAATTCTTCTATTAGAAAGAGTTTGTATGTCAAAAACAGTGAATTATTAAAAAAAAAAGAAATAAATCATTGGTGCAACAATTATTACTTCACGCTGGCCAGTTGTCAGGCCACACAGCTGCACCTGTTAGCAACAGCTAACAGCAACACAAATAAATGAAACATTCAGAATCTCCTGGGTTTAATACTTTTTATATTTCCAGAGATTTCTTCCTTAAGAATTACTTTATGTGTGTGAATTACGTTGCGAATAGCACCCCATCAGATTGCAAAATCAGGTAAATGTTGCCTCCGTTATTGCACAAGTTTTGAACTTTACACTTCAAGAAAGTGAGTGACAGAAAATTCTATTTTAGGCATTTCTGATTTGTGATTTTGTAATCCTTCTCAGGAGGAAGACAACAAAATGTCTCACAGAAGGTGAAATCCATACGTTGGGAGCGTTATATTTAAAGTTATTCAAGGCCAGCCATAAAACAAGCAAGTCATTCAGCGTTGTTTGCCTAGATCCAACTCATCTGTGTTTCTTTCAGCTAAATATCACGAAGCATTCAGCCGGAACATTAAAGATATTCACAGTTTTCATGTTCTTGTTTGAGATCATTCGTCAGTTTGAGGCTAAATACAAACAAGTCAGACAAAACCAAACCAAGGCCAATCAAAACAATCAGTATGTGGAACGAGAGACAAAGAGTTTTAAGAACTGTGGCCCCGGCGAGAGACCAGGTTTGAGTGCTACAAATTTGCCCCTCAGTGCCCCTTCAGTGCCTCTGTCTACGAGAGTGCGTCTCTGACAGCGCCTGTCAGCATTTCTAGAAACAGTTCGTAGACATGTTGCTATCCTGACTCACGTATCGTCCCCCTGTTAAAATATCTCTTAAATCAGCTTTTAAAACAAGCAGAATACTGAGTATACATGTACAGTGTGTTTAGCAGTACTCACATGTGATGTTCTCAGTGCAGCGATGAGTTCAGCTCTGACATTTGGTAGACTGTACGCGCTGCAGGTGGCTCTGTCACACACACACACACACACACACACACACACACACACACACACACACACACACACACACACACAGGAAGTCAGACACCACTATCATCCCATCCTTTCTGTTATGTGCTAAATGGATTAAAATGATTAGGATTACAGTGTCTGTCTCTTTCTCTCTCTCCCTCACACACACACACACACACACGCACACACACACACACACAAAATAGTTAATGCAGAAATTTTGTTAAGTTCATTTATGTTACAAAATACCACCATTCCTGAACTCATGAGACATATATTTTCCGCTCTCACATACATTTATGTTTATGTTTACATGTACATACAGCACGTGTATATGGAGTATGTATGTATATATGTCATTGGTGGTCTTGTGTTACTGTGTGAAACAGGTGTTAACTGCACTGGCATCAACACCTGCATTATACTGCACCAGTTATGGGGAATTCAGAGCTTCTGAAACAAAGCCGGCACAGTTTATAGCACACTAAAGAGCATAAATGAGGTATGACAACGTTTAGTATTGTGTTGAACAAGGTAGAAGTTATATTCCTTTAACATTTGTGTTATTCTTGTGGGTTTATTGTCTGCATTATGTCTTGAAGTATCCCGTCTGTAATTACCTCTCTATAAAGTCGTTTGTGGCAGAGCACGCCTCTCTCACACTGTTTTTAAATTACCTAAATGCTCAGGGGACACACAGGAAACAATACACATTCAGGTTTTTGTGATTCTCTCAGTGATAAAAGCCTCCCTGGTCAGTCATATGAGGATAGAAAAAACAAATCTTGCATTTGGGTGTTCTTATAGTTTATTGTCTGATGGGGAAAAAAGACATCTTCAACATACAACACTCGAATATTTTCATTTACAGAAATAAAGATAAAGTATACATCTATCAAATACACAGAAACACAAGAAAGAAAAATATATTGACATCAGCTGAATGAAATTTACCATAGCAAGCACATTAGAGGATGACAATGCTGTATACAAGGATATTCTTAACACGTGATTATGCTGCATAAATGTCAAAAACAAATACAGACAGTTGCTGTTCTCTCTTGCAGTGGAGGAGCCTATCTGCATTCACTTCACTGGTTATATTTGGTGGAAAAGCTCAAAAGTGCCCACATCATTACATTTGATTTTTATTTTCATCTCCAGCATTCAAAAGCCCATTTACATTCATGCCAAATTCTTTCACTCACTCTCTTTATCTCTATCTGTCCCTCTCTTTCCTTCCCTGTCACTCTCTCTCTCTCTCTCTCTGTCGTTCTTTCTTTCTATCTGTCCTTTCTTCGATCTGTCTTTCATGTCACTCCATTAGCAGGGGTTGCAGAGGGGGAGCTGATGGCTTCTCTCTCCGGCGTCCTTGCTGCGGTTTTGCTGCAGCTGCTGGGCTGCGATAAAGAGAGGAAAGAGGAGAAGTTTTCACACTAATTACGACACAATAATGAAGTACTTGGTAAAAGGCACAGTGAGAATGAAGGTCAAACAGTCATTAATATAAAGTGAAAAGAGTCTATTAGAAAGCATCTATAAAGTGAACAGAGATTACTGGAGAGGGGATGAAGTAATTTTTTTTTTTTTTACTAGATAGAAGTAAGTTAAGAACATTTACCGGTTACACTGGCAGTAGTTCTTGGGCCTCATCGGGAGTCCACCATTCTTCATGCTTCGAAATTTCCTCTGTAGCAGAAAAAAAAGAGAGTCAGATTTGAATTTTTTTGTTTGCCTCAGTAACCCAACCCTTCATCCCACCTACCTATTTAAATCAAAGCACTAAGATTCCCTTTATATACCGACCTTCCTTCTTTTGTTCCTCTCGCGCAGGACAACGATAAGGACAATCAGGAGAAGCACAAGCAGACAGCCCACTCCAATTGCAACCCACATCCACCAGCTGAGCCCCAGCAGCAGAGCATCGTTGGGTTTAGGATGAGTAACACCTGGTTGAGCCATGAAAACAGACCATGGCAGAAAGCGGGGAATCAATGACACATCCAGTGAAGAATCACTTTCGTTAACGTGCTTACAGAGGGTTTACCCAAACAAACATATGCAGTTCGTACAGTCAAGGCAGCTTGGTTTACCGTTGTCCTTTGACTTTTGGGTAGGGGGCGGTGCAGTTGTTTTCGGCTCTGAAAGCAAAAACACAGCACATCTTGTTTTTGCCAGTGGCCACACAGGTAGCTTTTGTTGTGTTTCATTTGCAAAGACTTGAGTAAAAGTGTCCTACCTTGAACTTTGATTTCTAGGCTCTCACTGTACGTTGTTCCGTCATAGGAGAACATGCAGTTCCAGGTTCCTGCATCAGAGCGGGCTACAGATTTGAGTTCAGCCTGTGACCCTGCGTGTGACCTTCCATCTGGCCTCTTCCACTGCACCGTAGAGTCCGGGTTCATACCTGTTACCTGACACTTGAGCGTAACCTCACTGCCCAGCAGGAGATCTCCAGAGGAGCTGGCCGAGACTGACACAGAGAGGGACAACAGACAAGGGCGAGGATACAGTGAGAATGACAAAGAGCAAGAGGAGGCCATGCCAGATGAGGGACTTCATCCAGATCATTAGGAAGGTGACACACCCTTATGACATGAGAGGAAGAGCAAAATGAAAATATATCATTGTACTTATTGCTGCACAAAATGGTCACAGCTTTACAGGCCGGAAAATCTGAAATTTAGGGATATTAAATCATGAAATTAAAGGGGCACTCAGGCAATTTTACACATAAAGGTCGAATTTAATCATAATGAAAAATGCTGCTTCGCTGGTGAAAATAGCTGCACAATAGGGAGCATGCTAAAGTTTGAAAGAAATCTATGGCGATGTTATCTCCGCCTGAGCTTTGAAACTACATGTTTTTTTACTTATCAGGAGGCCTGTGTTTCAATCTGGCCAAGGGGGGGTTTAAAGGTATGAACGTTTACCAGACAGGGAGGGTCTAATGAAAGATATCGAGTTGCTTCACAGTAAAAGTTTGGAGCTTGAGCCAGATTAAGGGACATCAATTAGGATATTTCGGCGTCTGCTACTTTGATTTTGCCAGTTGTTTTTATAAATCTGTCTCTAAAGTTTATAAAGATGCAATAATAAATTTATTTTTAATTCCATACATGTGTGTGTGTACAATATTTTGCATTAAATACCCACAATATTTGGACGCAGTAGGCCAGCCCATGGGGACTGGGCTTGAGAACCACGAGGTCACCAGTTCAAGTCCACGTACTCACCAAGTATGGAGTGTGGACTGGCAGCTAGAGAGGTGCCAGTTTGCTTCTGGGCACTGTCAATGTGCCCTTGAGCAAGGCACCAAAAACCCAAACTGCCATACTAAGTTGCTATGGCTGACCCTGTGCTACCACCCTCGTTCGATGCATGTGTGTGTATAAGCGGGATCCCCAAAGAGGTACATTTTAACTGCTCATTGCCTGATTGTGTGGACTGACAAATAAAAATAATTCATTTCAAAATGAATTCTTCAAAAGTTACTTCATTTAGTAAATGTGCAGAAATTATTCTTATTCGTAAAACTGACCTGTGACATTTAACTGTTTGATGAAAGAGTATTTAATTTTACCTCTCTTTCCTAACCCTCCTCAAATTTTCACTTTAATTTTTTTTATCAAACTAATTACTGTGGGCAGAGGAATTTCTTTTAACACAGTACAATGACTTTCACCAAAAAGACGAGTGTTTAAACTGCACAATCAGAATCCTGATTGAAATGATGACGTAAACCCACTCACTCTGTATTCTGTGCAATGCCATTATTTTTCAAAATATACATATTTCCTGGGTTGTGTGCTCACCTAAAACCACAAGGAGTGTATGTTGGTAACTTTTCCCATCTGCCTTGCAAGTGAACTTTCCAGCATCTTGCATCGTGACTCCAGCGATCTCCAGTCTTGTTTCTGGCCTTATCTTTGACCTCAACGCAGTGTCAGATTTGCCTGGAGCAGAAAATATCCAATTGACAACAGTGACATTTTCAAAACAATATGTTGTGCTGCAGATAATGTTGACTGTTTTATTTTTCTGATAAACTGTTTGTACCTGTGCGAGGGAAGCTGTACTTCCTTTGTACTTTTGGAGTGCTACAGAGCAGGTCATTCTCACGATTCCACTCCAGGGTGTCAGAGTAGGTGCTGACCCCACACTCGAGCATGGTTTTCTGCCCTTGTTTTGCAACAAACACTTTCCCTGAAGCAGAGAGTGCACAGAGCACTATAGAGAGAGGATCACACATCACTTGATATGATACGTTCACAGTAGAATATCACAAACTTAATGTACAAAGACAAGAACAGATGTCATCACAATATATTCTAATACTGTAGACTCAAACAGTAAATATGAATTAAGGTAAGGGTTTATCAGCCAAACACAACTGCAGCTATTTTCCAAGGTAGATTAACTGAGTCTTCTAAACATAAAAGGACTTGGATCAATCAACTCATTAACCCATTATTTTAATGAATTATATATAATAAAATTAAGTATTTTCACTCACCAAAAACAAACCAAACTATTGTCCTCATTGTAGATGTTGGATCTGAGGGGTAAAAATAACACAAATGTTCTTCTCGCTCAGGACAAACGTATTTCACAGAAATAACTTAAATGCTGAAGTTCATGATGTGAAAGCAAATATTTCCAGGTTAGAGACACCACACACAGCTTCTGTTCGAGATGAGCATTTTAGAAAAGCATGTGAGCCCTAACCACTGAGCTACTGTTGTTCTCTACTTCCTTCCTCTTCATATTTCGTATGATAAATTTGATTTACAAAAAAAAGCTTTGCAACATTTAAAAAGAAGAACCTGAAACAAATGTCCCCGGGAAATGCCAGCATGTTTTGGCTCTTCTGCATTTAATGAACATAATCAGTAACACATGCGAAGATGCTTCAGTGTAGTACAAATGGATCTTCTTGTACATTTGGCACAAGTTTATTAAGAAAGTAGTAATTTCCGTACAGTTTTCTTAGTAATAAAACTGAATAAAATATATTCTCAAAAAAATGCTGACAGGCCATTTATCACTCTTTGTCTCATTACTCTGATAAGTTTCATGATTTTAAACAGTTTAGAAATGGACTTTTTTGGCAAGCTAAAATACTTGAATCTATGTGATCATTTCAACAACACAGAACATGTCTTGGTATAGTAGTTATTTTGAAGAGCCAAACAATTGGAATCGGACCAATAATCAATATTTCATCGTTTCAATAACTGCATCAAAATTCGACTAAAAAGTCTCAGTTGTCATATTATCAATGTATTTCACTTCACTGACTGCATAGTTTAAGCTTTGAGAAAATAAAGAATCATAAACTCCGAAATAAGAGTGACCTTGAGATACACACTAAAGGCTCGGGGAAAGGCACATTTCTCTTTCACATCTGTTTAGCAGCATTGATCTAAGCTCTTATATTTGTAATCATAATTTCTTTAGAAACCTAAATGTAAGAGGAGAGACAATAGAGACAACATACAAAATGTTTAATATTTCTTATTAAATTGTTTCATCCTTCTTTGCTCAGTTTGAACTTACGGAAGAAAATGAAAATGGTTTCAAAATGGTGACATCAAATCCAATCATTTCATTCGACAACATGAAACTTTATTTCATAAAGGATCTTACCTCAGTTTTGAAGCAGTGCAGTGTCTTTTGTGCTTTTATTGAAGGCCAAAACCTTTGTTAATCCTCTCTGTGTCTCACTTCATCGAAGGATGCAAAAACTGAAGAAGGCGGAAAACATCTGAGAAGAATCTTGCACCTGGGAGAGTTGTAGGCCAATGCAAACCCCCAGCTCTTTGTGGGTTTGCTCTTCATGCCTGCGCTTTCACGTAAAAACTAGGCCCGGGATTCTCTACACAGCGCCATTTTCACAGGAAGCTGAGGAAAGCTCTATGCAGTGGCTTAAAAACTCTTGAAACAACAGAGGCGTTAACTATATTTCAAATATACACACAATTTGTGGGATTGTGGCAACTCACGAGACGGAAAAACCAACAGCAAACGTTCAATTTAATTAAAGAAAAAGGCAGAATGACAGAAAGACAATTCTTTATTTGTCACAGCAGAAGTAACAAAGGATTTGTTTGCAAAATAAAAACAAAATAAAACAAAAATCACCCAGATATCACCCGCACCAACCTTTAAAGAAAAAAACAAGTTGATTTGGTGTTTTGACTTTTTTATTTCCTTTTTTTAACACACATTTGAGCTGTTATTTGTTTGATCCTCTCAGCGTGGATGTTTTAGCTGTGTTTTTTTTTTTTCTACTTCCTCGATGAAACGGGCGGAGGAGGAGCTGGTGCCCTGCTTAACTGGGGACACCAAGCTGCAACCGTCCAATAAAAGAAGAGAGGGCTGGAAGCAACATATTTTGATGGGGAGTGGCAGTGACTACTGATGGCAGTGGAAATCAATAGTCAGGACATGGAAAATGGTAGTTAAGCAAACGTATTAATAAAGAGTGAATGGATTTAGCAACCGAGGTTCCTTTGAATGTTCAGGCCTGTTCCATGACGCTGATTTAAAACCTGAAACAGCTGTTTACACAGTTTTCAAATGGTTTTACTCAGCATAGTTGTCCATGAACTAACTGAATCTTCTCTGAACAGGCCCGTGGTTTGTAATCGAAGGATCAAAAACAAAAATCCCCCCCCAACACTTTATCTGTACATTTGCACCAATTCATTTAACTGTGTATATATGCAATCTGAGGGATTTATTTACACTGTCGTCAGCTGTGAAGCGTGCCGGGGCAGTTGTAAGAGCTTGGTGGGGTGCGACTATGAATGTTATCTTGTGTGTTTGTGTTAGCGTCCACATTACTCCTCCTTTACCCCAAGTGTAACGCTCCTTTGTCTCATTCAACCACTCTTCGGTAGAAGTAGAGGTATCCCAGGTCTTTGGGAGGTTTCTCTGAAGCGCACACCTTCTGATCGTTGAAGATGACCCACCTGTAAAACAGAGACATCGCTTAGTTCACACAGAGCTACTTGATAACAGACAAGTGAAACTCAGTAAGTGCAGATCTCCTTCAGGTGTGTCTGGGGGCATGAGGATGGGGAACAGGGAGTGCAGGGCAGGCCCCCTTATATTAATTAATCTGCAAATGTTCTGGTTCAAAATGACACCAAACTTTTCTATGGATGTCAGTTTTTGAGCCACGACAAAGGCCAAAATGTCGGAAATGCCTCTGATACTGCCTGAAATGCTGGGTAAGGTATTGACGAGAATGCAGGTCTATACACTGATCTGTTACCACCTAATTTATTAACAAACTTAAACCCCCTCGAGGGTGGTACTCTAATTATTATTATTATTAGTATATCTGTGAATACACTTTGGTCTAAAAACAAACGATAAATGGCCTTTATGATCTTCTTTTATTTAGTGGCTTGACATGGAAATGGGTTAGTAGTGTAGACGTTATTTTCATTGTATATTATTTTTCTAACAACACTGGCATTTGATTGGTAATCTGTACCAGCTGACACGCAGGTTCAGGTATCACAATTGGTACAGGGAATTAAAAAATGGTATTTGAACTTCTGTAGTTAAGACTACAATAAAATAGGTTTTTCAAAATGTGTTAGTCACTACAACTACGAGAGGTCCTTGAGCATACAGTCATAAATGTGCACACAAAATCTGGTGGTTTGGGAGATTAGTCATGGACAGACAGATACACACACATGTATGCACACAAGCAGGCATGTGCACCACCAAACATATGATCCCCTCTAGGCCTACGTCTGGTGGCGATAATAAAATATCCCACTTGGGCTAAGTGACACCTGCTTTTCCCAAAGGACCAACATATTCATATTCTAACACATAATGGTCATTTTTGAGCAATTTCATAATTTATTTGTTCTCACTAGTACAGATGGGATCATTACTAATATCAAAATATAAAATAAATCTGGTGTTTTCTTGCTAAGTCGACACAAGTGTTTTTCTTGAGAGGCCACTGTGCTTGAATAGTTGTTGTTTATTGTGGATTTTTGTATTTTATGTTGCATTTGTTGCATTTTAAATTTGTTTTGATTGACTGGTTGTAAAAGAGATTTTCAATCTCAATGGGACTTTCTGGTTAAACAAAGGTTAAATAAATGAAATAAATCCTTTAAACCTTGTTGTATGAAAGGTTAATACTTTGTACTGTGATCACATCAGGTGCTCGTTCTGTTTAAACCAGACCTGGAGTATGGTGCCCCCTGTTGAGGTACTACAGAATCAGCTACACATCTCACATTTCATGACTAAATGAACTACTGATAAAAGAACAGACAACTTGTGAGAATGTAACTCGCTTTGTTGTTTCTTCCAGAACATGGGATTTGCATGATATTAATTATATTTGAGGATCTGAGACTTGCAATGACATTTTTTCAACAGCTCTGACTTTTAAATGACAAATTGAGGCTTTGAAACAGCAAAAACATCCCTTAAAGCAGCATGAATACTTACTGTGATCATGTTTAAAGATATTAAACATAGTGCAAAATATTGTAAAGCAGCAGCTTCAGTTCAATAGAATCTGTATCAGGAAATGTTTGGATAAATGCACCTGGAATGACAGTGAGAAGTAGACTGACGGAATGTGGGAAAACTGAGACATACTGTTGTAATTGCACTTATTTTACCTGAGACATCTCAGGCTGTTCATCTGCTTGTAAAAGGATGAACCTCCACAGAATGTACTTGTAATTCTTTACACAAAAAAAAGGGAAAATATCTGAGCTAATGGTATTTATAGGTATTTATAGGTGCAATGTTTTTATTGGTCTGGCCCATCTGAGATCAAATTGGGCTGCATATGGCCCATGAACTAAAATGTGTTTGACACCCCTGCCTTAAAGGTAAAAAGCACTAGGCAAAAAAAACACTTACTGCTGATCCTTCTTGATGTGGCAGACATAGTGGCCGCACATTGTGCTTGTCCCCATGTGACTGATGAATGCAAACAGCTCATACTCTGGATGAAGTAGAAAAAAATATTATTTTTAACATATATAATTAAATTATGATGGCTGAAAGAGCACGTCTTTATAAATAAAAGGTGGTAATGTCACTGCAGTCTATATTTCATGTTTGAACACATCACTGCAACTAGTCTGAGGATCATTTTTGAATGCTTCCTCTCTGATCCTTCTCCTTGGGACTTACTGCCTGGTCCGTCTCTGACACGAGGCCCAGGCGGAGGATCCCTGCCACCTTCGCTCTCTGCGGCTGAGCGGCCGCCCTCAGACACATCCATGGAGTCCAGGTCATCCAGGTGGGAGAAGATCCAGTCCACTGCCCGGTCCAGGATATTACTCTGTGAAACAAACACCAGTTAGAGGAGACATCTCCAGAGGATATCAACAAATGAAGTTTTTGGTCAAATACAAGCTTTTCTAGAAGTCTGTTTTGATGTTACAAGTACAACTTTAAGTTTGAGGGCCAAAGACAGCTGAGGCCCTTTGTTAAAGGTCTGGCAATCGATGATGGTCAAAGTTCACTTTTATGAAGAAGCCAAATGTTTGATAACACTGTAATAATATAACTGTAATAATGACGTAACTGTAATAATACAGAAAGTGTTTTCTCTGCCTCAACGTGGAACTGTAGCAAACGACAGGACAACGGGAAAAAAAATCTTTGCTTACCTCGATCATCTGGAG